ATTGAAAAGAAATTGAAAGATAAGTGACCAGCCAAGAATTTCATTTGTGTTTCAGAAATCTCAGGGATGTTGGCGTGCATGCTATTGGGCCCTGAACGGTGCTGATTTTACACTGTTTTCAACGGGGCTTGAATTAGTGGACTGGACCCATATGATTTCCGTGAAGCTGACTTCTGATTGTGCCTTCAATCTTTTGATACAAGTTGCGTATAGTTACTACATAGCGCCCTCTGTTGACTGCATTGCTCCAATAAGGGGCAATTTTGAATGTTTCTCCTTCCTTCGTCAGAAAAGGTGCATTTTTAAAAATGATTAATGATGACTAATCATTACAAGATTCCAAGACTGGATACATTTTGCTGATGTAATAGAGAAAGCGGTTCAGCACGTGCGGAAACTGCACATTATAAACATTCGAAAAGCCTGGAATTTGGAACATTTCCTGTCGAAAGCCTGGTTTCCGTATCGATGCAAGAAACGCAGAGAGCAGCGAAATCAAGACGCAAACCGCTACACAGACATATGGAAACACATCAAACGGAGGTGTCGCCCACAACGCAGACAAACGCAAACCAGCCCGCGAACGATCGGAAAAGTTGAGTCAGGGTCAACTTTGCCGATTGTCTGTGTCGAGTACCCGTGGTATCCCCATAAACATGCACGCTGGCATGACCGGCGTGCAACTACGTCCCTCTCCCTTAGTTCCACGAATTCCAGTGATCAACTTATGCTGACCGCATGAAACTGGAGAGGAAGTTTGGCATCATGAAGCGGTACAGTCATATACAATGGCGTAGCTAGGATTTTACGAGGGGGGGGGGCACAATGGAGCATCAGCATCTTATGGGGGGCACCAGCTTTCAGTGTTTTTTTTGGGGGGGGCAAGCTTTTGTTAGTCTTGTTCAATATCCATTCGTCCGTTTTTAAGGGGGAAACGGGAATGGGGGGCACGTGCCCCAGGCCCCACCCGTGGCTATGCCCCTGGGTACAGTCAATCTAAAAGCACATTTTCCACGAGAAATCACGGAGTTTCGGACGCCACTTGGTTTCAATTTTTCAGTGCAAGGACGTCATGCACCATCTCTTCCCTTCGTGTCTGCGTCTTCACGTCTTGCTTTCCGTCTGCGTTACAAACATTAACATGGACAACAGGCTTAACTGTGCATCATTCTGCCAATCACGCTTGGTATTTGCGGTGTCCGGATTTCTTTCTCAAAATTTTCTTTAGGGTTATCATCTGGTCTTCTCCCCTTGTTTGGGGAACAAGAAACAACCACGACCTGTCGACCCCGACACGCCATGCAGTAAATCAAAACTTAAAGTCCACAGTCAGGGAAATTTATGGCCGGGCAACGCGGTTAACTTGCATGGAATGTTTATTATCAGGCGACTCGAAGGACGTGAACAAGCGTTATTGCAGAGGCTAACGATAAAATGTTTAGTGAGGTCGTAGCGACCACCTGTTCCGGTACAAATCTTGGCAAATTGGGAGCGTCTGATCACCGTCTTTTTGGTGTTTGGCAATTTCCAAGGGCTACGCAATTAAAAAAGAAACACCAGTTGTCGGTTTGGTGAGTCCCAGTCTCCACCATGGGAATTTCGGTCTGATGTTAGCCCGCAACTCCTCAGAAAGATCTCTGGTCTGAGATCCTTCTCGAATTTCAACTGCATAAATTTTTGTCAGATTGCAATTGCAAGCAAAATTGGACGGGTATGCACAGACCCTGTCCGGTTTACGTTCAGGGTGAGAGAGTTCATGGCGCCATATGTAGAATTCGCGTGTCTTCGGGCAACATCTGCTAGTGTTTGGCATAGGGGCAAGCCACCCAAAATTAAAAGGCACAGTTTGCTGCTCGCCAAAGAAACTTACATTAAGATTTACATCTCTGTTTCACGCGATACTCTCTTTTTATGTTGTCGACTGTGCTAACAAGAGCAAGACTTTGTCCAGTTATCCTCGAGTTATCTTGAGTTAAGTTGAAATCAGCTGCTAATAGTAGTGGACAGACTTCTATTAATATATATTAATTTCTTCTTTTTGGAAAAGTTGAAGGTTATGCCGTGTGATAAAATAGTCCTTGCTCTATTCATTTCTAAAGATGACCTGTAAAATGCAACATTTCTTAAACCTGCAACCTTTCTTGGGACCTCGCCGTTTTCGCATTCTGACAACTGTAACTGTGGGACAGACAATAAACCTCCCATCAACTCTTCCCGATAATCCACTGGGGCCTTGACAAGCCTGGACGGGTTGATTCAGAGGCAATCACGGTTGCAGCTGTCTTTGACAATTTTGAAAACCCCGGATGAATTATTGATGAAAATCCTTCCTCTTATGCAGATGTTTCATAATTAAAGGAAAGGGATCATACCATTAATTATGCATAAAATAGTACTACGTGACAGCTACATTAGCATGTGGCAGATTCCGGACAGACTGGTGTCCAGCACGACAATTGATTTTCAAGATTCATACAACGCAAAAGAAGATAGTCAGGGAGGGTCACCTTTACCATATATTATGTACCATCATAGTCTTTATAGAGGGCAGTCGTAAACACACATAGAGCTATACATCATTTGTAAAGCTCTACGATAACAACGATGTGAACTCTTGTGACAGAACAATAGAGACCATTAAGGCCATCTTTTGTCAGATGCACATTTTCTGAGCTACACAATCTCTTAATTTGCAGTCACTATCCTGCTTCATTTAACCTCTAAAAACCGCTCCACAGATGTCCACACGTTTCACGAGGTTTATCACGCCAATCACAGACGAGACGACTTTTCAAAGCTGGGTCATAGGGGGAATGATTCGATATCTCTTGGGGATCCAGGTTCTCCAGGACAGGGGAGCTTGATGAGCCATGAACGGACGGGGCCTCTTGTCCGTCTGCAGTGACATCGTCCGGTGAACTGGACATAATGCCGTCTGAGGGACGAGAGAGGCTAGCCAGGAAAATGTGCCCTGCTGCAGTGTTGCGGGCAACGGTTCTATGTAGAGACTGGAAGGGGTAACGGGAGAGTGTGAAAAGAGCATGCGCCAGGGATCTTCTACACAATTTAATTCTAAAACTTGAACGATAGGCGGCTTTTCTATGACCAGAGGCTCTGTACATTTTCAGTCTCTGAGTGAGGAGCTTGTTTGTTTTATTTCAACCAGCACTAGAGGAATTTGCTCTTTTATTCATCACAGCTAAAGTTGATGCGAGGCGTGCCACGCCCATCTGACTGTGGGTTTTCATCACAGTTTAAAACAGCACTGTGCTGAGTCGTGTACGCCTTGATTATCCCCCCGCCACTCAGGTTGATATCATATGAATCCAGCAAAACGATGATGTTGCCACTGGACTCAGATCTGCCGTAAGTCGCTGTTACACAGACACCCATCGCTGTTGGAATATTTGCAGTGGTTTCGTTTGTGATTCTGTGGCATGGTTCTAGTTTCTGATAGCGATCGGTTAATACTCGAAGCAGGTGCACGGCATGTTTTATGTACGAGGAATCCTACATGGATCCCCGCACCGATATAACCCGCAACCCCCCAACCATTCGCCGGCTGGGCACGTTCCTTCCCTTTGGAATTCTGGGCTTGGATAAAGCGTGGGTCACGTAGTCATCATTATGAGAGATTCCTTCTTTCGCTTCTTATACTTCGTCTGCAGTGTTATTATTGCCGTCTGACTTTTTGAACCAAATTAAATCGATACAGTACTTAAGTCTGGAGGGGAGCAGGGCCCGTGGGACGCGCCGCCGTAGCAGCGCGGCATGGACTCCGGCTATGCGGAGTGGCAGTCGATCGCAACCTATTCTCCAGACGCGGGTTTGTTGATTGCCTGTTTTCAACTTGACAGGCTTGTGCGATTCTTTTCCTTGTCCCTGCTTTTTCAGCAGAAAAAAATCCCCTCACAAAAAACAGGAGTTGCCTGTTTGTATGGCGTTGACTTTATTATACACAATCCCCCCAAACAGGACTGACGAAGCCTTTGAATTTTGTCAAGAACTTTCCGGGCGATTTTTAATGGAACTCCCGCTGTCACCGTCTGGTTGAATAGGCGCGCTGTCTCCAAAGAAAACGGTCACTTTTTCCGCAACTTATCGCGCCTTTTGTCATGTTAAAATAGGTATCGGTTTAACCAGCTCAATGGCTCAGAAACTATCAACATCTCTGGCTTTTGTGGGCCTTGACTGGTTGTAAAGCTTTTCTTTTTCGGTGCCTGTGGGGAGCCGCAACGGCTGTTTGATGTGGACAGTCCGGAATTATAGCATAATGGGGGGCAGGCAGTAAAACACGCGTTGTAGGGGATTACGTCTTCGAAGCTCCAGATAATAACTTGCTTGGAAGTTGATACAAGGCAAAGCGACGGGTAAGGAGATAACTGGATTAGCTGGAAAGATTGGCCTGAACATCATGATGGGGGAGAAACTTGCAGGGTCTAACCCAGCAGCCTACTTACTACATGTAGTTTGAAACTGCATTATTTTCTATTCTTGCGTGACCTCCTCTCTAATTAATTCTAATGAAGTTTGTGGTCACGTGTTCATATAACATGCAGGTTTCGTGGCTAATGTAGCTTTTGTGAAGACATTTTGGATATAATTATAATTATGCTTTTAAACTTTCCTCTTTCCCCCGGTGCTAAAATTACCAGCCTGACATCTTCCAATTTCAAGTTCAGCAAATTGTTGTTCCTGTTATCCAGCTGTTAAATAAATGTAAAGTGTTTTTCAAACAACTTTTCTGACACACAAAACAGATGTAAGGTTTGAGTTTCCTCTAAATAACACTGTCTTTAAGCCGATGAATATAATATGCGATCCAACCTTGGAATTTGTTATGCAGGCATTCAATCAACATTTATACCGGCAAACCATAATCCCCTAAATACCACAGAGATAGTGGGTATAGATATCACACGCGTATCTCCCTTTCAAGTGATTGCTCGTTCACTGAACAACTCCGCAGATCACCCGCACTCTTTGGGCGAGTGGGAGGGGCCTATTTCCGAGCCCCACAGCAGGCCAAAATTGGTTTTTATTAGCCAGCCAGATTTTTTTCTGTCTCCCCTCAGTCTGCACTGCTCCTCGATACTGTACAGCATAGCATGATTTGATTCGGTGGCGTGCGGGATCTGGGAACGACATTAGGCAAAGTTCAATTTGATACCGAGCTCAGGGCCGCTTTATCGGCCTTGCCAAGCAGAGCTGATCGGCAGGGGTATACTTTGTGACACTGTTTACGCATATCAGATCGCGTTCCAACGGTTTTCGGGCTGCATGCCTAGGTCTCGGACTGGACACAAACAGCAGTGGTCCTTCCCGTGTACACTTTCAACTTTTTCGCGGTTGTGAAGAGAAATTCCACGAATCAGAAGACAAGATTAACTCGCATGTTTTCGCTGTTTCCATCTGTTGTTGACACAGAGAAATCCTCATCTATAGTTTTTGCAGTCTGCAGGCCTACCGCGGACTGTGTGTGTTTGTGTACGTGTGTGGACGCGACAATTTTCATGCATGGAGGATTACCATTATTAATGCGCTAGCTCGTTAAATGTAGCCGTGCCGAGTCGGCAGCAGTACAAAGCCGCTGGAGTGGTTGTGATCTCCCTCCAGCGACCGATAAAGCACCGCTCAAGAGGGGTCGGCACGCGGACAAGAGCTTTGGCGCAGTGTCAATGTGGTGATCGGCGAGTAAAGGACGGACTGTCAGTAGACACACGGCTGGGTTCCCATGCGAACTCCCGTGTTTGTGGACGGCTAAGCTAAAAGCTATGAATAGATCATCCGTGTTAACGAGAGGAATTGCCATCATGCCCAGACAACTCCGTTTGTGGATTTAGCCAAGCTAGCGTAGTGTTAAACAGCAAAAACTTTTGACATCATGGCGGGAGTGATTTCACAACTTGTGCAGACTTTGTATGTCTTCAGTGTGGGAGTTTGCCTCGTCTGTGCTCTGGAGCAGAGGCAGAACCAGTGTCAACGGATAACGATCCCAATGTGCTTGGATATCGGTTACAACATGACTCGGATGCCGAACTACTTTGGGCACGACACCCAAGTGGAGGCAGCGCCCCGCATCCACGAATTCTCCCCCTTGGTGACTTACGGGTGTTCTGAGCACCTCCGATTTTTTCTTTGCTCTCTGTATGCTCCCATGTGCTCTCCACAGGTTGATATCCCTATCCCAGCCTGTCGGCCCATGTGCGAAACGGTCCGGGGAAAGTGCGAGCCCGTGATGCAGAGCTTTGGAATATCGTGGCCCGAAGCGCTGAAATGTGACTCGCTACCGCGAGGAGTGGAGAGAGACGATCTATGCATGGTGGCACCGAACATGTCCGGCGCCAACGAAGAAGACCAAGGGGCTACCGCTGACCCCGACGGGGACTTCAATCCCGGCGGGGGGAGAGGGGTTCCCAACCCTACTCCCCCGTCCACCAGATACAACGGGACCGCCAACCGGCGATGTCCAAACCACGAGAGATTCGTCATGTTACCGCAGACCAAATCGTGCGTGCCTCGCTGCGACCGGGATGTGTACTTCCAGCAATCGGACAAGAAGTTCGCCGAGTTGTGGATGGGGATCTGGTCCATCCTCTGCTTCGTCGGTACCGCAGTGACCGTACTGACCTTCCTGATTGACCGGGGGAGATTCCGTTACCCAGAGAGGCCCATCATCTTCCTGTCCATGTGTTACAACATGTACTCCGTATCCTACATCATCCGCCTGATTACGGGACCTCGAGCCATCGCGTGTGGCCACACTGCTGGTGATGAGTATTACCTGATTCAAGAAGGGTTGGAGAGCACTGGCTGTACCGTTGTGTTCCTTATCCAGTATTACTTTTATATGGCAAGCTCCATCTGGTGGGTGATTCTCACCCTGACTTGGTTCCTGGCAGCTGGGATGAAGTGGGGATACGAGGCTATTGCGGCCTACAGCAGCTACTACCATCTCGCAGCCTGGGCCCTGCCGGCTCTCAAGACGATCATCGTGCTGACGCTTCGCCGTATGGACGGGGATGAGCTGACCGGGATGTGCTTCGTCGGCAACCAGGACCCCGAGGCGCTCGCCGGCTTTGTGCTGGCCCCGCTGTTTGTCTACTTTGCCGTGGGCACCCTCTTCATCCTTGCTGGCTTCTTCTACATGTTCCGCATCCGTAAGGTCATGAAGAGCGGCGGCACCAACATCGATAAGCTGGAGAAGCTCATGGTGCGGATAGGGGTGTTCTCGGTGCTCTACACCGTGCCGGCCACCTCCGTGATTGCGTGTTATTTTTACCAGCGGGCCAACCTGAGGCTGTGGGAACTAGTAGCCACCCACTCAAACCCTTGCATGCCCAACGGGGACTGTGCCATGGCATTTTCCATCCCATCCGTCCCCGTGCTCCTGGTTAAGACATTCATGCTCCTCGTGGTTGGCATCACCAGCGGCATGTGGATCTGGAGCACCAAGACTGTCCAGTCATGGGAGGCCTTCCTTGGTCGAATCTTTGGCAGCGGCGGCCACCGCAAGCAGGCCGCCGCGATGTCGTCCTATAACGCCCAGACTGCTGGAGCTTCCGCTCCAACGGTGGCCGGACAAGCAAACCCCACACCTGGACTAGGGGTCAAGTACACCAGAACTCCAAATCCAGCTAACAAGGCACATAGTATTGCCTACACTAACTTGGAAGGAGGTGGCACCGCTATTGTTTAGCACAGACTTACAAAGAATGATTTATAACCTTTGTAAACCTACACCGCGTACATGTACATTAGCATAAAAAGAGAATAACTACGCACTACATGATGTATTATGTGATCGACATGTTTTTCATGAGATTTGTCAGAAATGTAAGTCGTACATTATCCGTTATTTTGAAGAAAAAAAATCCCAGTCTGGGTACGTACGTACATGTCTGTGTTGAAGTGCTGTAAAAAACGTATCACAGTTAAAACTTTGAAATTGCGAACAACAATAAAAAAAAAATGCTCGGCCATATTTACTTTGGGCGGCCGTTTACCTTGGATTGCGAATTCTTAGCATGTGTTCAGCCTGGAATGTGTCAGTTATCATTGCCATATCATTACCTATCTCTGTGTAAGATGATACCCTGCAGGTATTATGCTAACATAAGTAACTGCGATTGTTTCAAATTGAATGTAAACACGCACGGCATCTGGATCTTTCACAGACGCGAACTTAAAGCCAAAGAATCTGTCACATAATTGGGCTATTATGCATTACATACCCTGCTCATGAGGTTGAGTTTTTATCTTTTGTTTGCACCCGGATAGATTTAAACTAGGTTTGTCCCAGTTTCTCGAAAGATTAATGATGGTCTCAATTTCAAAGTTCATTTTTGGTTAGATAATTTGGGTTCTGCTACTAGGCACTGGTCCGTGGGAAGTCGGTGCTTTGTTCGCATTGTATGTAGGGTCGCACGGGGTTTGAAAATGTAAATGAACACAAGTCACGTGACGGGGAAATTTGGTCAAGGGACATGTTCCGCTTTGGGTCGCTGTCTTTTATGGTGCTTCTTAAGAAATAAAATGTGATGGAAAATGTCAGATTTCTGAATCGGTAGTTCCCGTGTCGGTTGTCGGTTTCCATTATATGTTTTCCCAGTTGGCCTTGGCGCCATTGTTTGGGATCTCCCTTTTCTGTACATGGAATCCCGTTCTTCTAATAAGTCAACCAGCAGTCGGTGTTGGATGACGATACGGCAGAATATAAATTGACCGAGTCCACTTGTGAGCAATTGTTCGGTTCCCCGAACCTCCCCTGAGAAAAGAGGGGAGACGGCAAAGAAAAAAAAGAGAGATCATGTCATTATCGAGATCACCACTCGGGTATCCATTTCAATTTTGCCAAACCCTTTTGATCTTGTAATTACCGCATCCCCCTCTCAGAGTGCAATTATCCCGGTCCTCACAGACAGGACAAAGGGCCGAGTAGACGGCGTAGTGGCATGGTGAAGCCCCGGTGAAGGGGGTGTTATTGGCCGGAGCTGATAAATCGGTTATTGGGAGTGACTCTCCCTAGTCATTTGTCATCTGTCTGGCTTTGTCCATTTTTTTGTTGTTGTTGGAAGAGCCTGATCGGGTCTCTTACAGCATGCTGGATAATCGAAACCGAATAATACCCCTTTAATTAGAAAAAAAGCTCAGCACTCCATAAGGCAAAGATGCCCTGTGTGTCCAAGATGGCATGGGTTTTGACAAGGATGTAACGCAATAAAATTCAATAATAATTCAATAAGTCTTTTCATGCTCCCTTTCATTGAGGCTCTTTTTGTTTTGTTTTTTAATTTTGTTGTTTTTTCCTATACCATGTTTTACAAAAAGGTGTCAGCTTCTTTTGAGTTTGCCATCGAAACTTCCAGCAATAACGCAGCTTTTTGTAGAACGTGGACCAGGAAACAAATTAAGCGGTCTGCATTATGGATGATGGATGCAGGTGTATTTCGTACATTTAAGTCCTTTGGTGTACACCAACTTTAAACCCTGTAGACCATACATTTCATTCATACGTTGTCCTTTTTTTCTGAACAGCTATTTCAATTACCTGAATTACTCGCTCAAGAACTCTCATTGCCTTGGTCAAGACGCCAAGCGTCTGTACTTCGTCGCTGTCGTTGTTACTGGATTGTCTTAGCTTTATGAGGCCGTCCCTTGGCCAATTTAAAAGCGAGTGGACTACCCAAGTGTTGAGGAATTCACCGCGATAAGGTTGACCGGGAACTTCGCTCAGCAGGGGCATGAAATGTACACCGCTTATTTCACGGAGAGTTTGATCCCTGCCCAGGAACAAACAATAAAAGAAACGAAGCTTGATGTTATATACGCCACAGTTTCGCGGTTCATACTGAGAGTCCATTTGCAACGTTGTTTCCTCGACACGCAACAGCGGGGTAGTTGCAAAAAGCAACAAGAGGTCCGACCACATTTCCACAGGTCGGTGCAATATCAAAGCGGCGGGGTTGCCGTGTTCCCTGCGATCTTCCGGCTCAAATTCATGTAAAGAGTCTAATACATTTACAAATACCCCTAATTAATGGGTGAAAAGGGGGTTTCCGATGGCTTCGAATCTTTGTATCAATAAGCTTTGCAGCTGTGTTTTAATTGTCAGTGGTGTATAACGTTGGGCATATAAAAATAGTTTTAAAGGAAATACACGTATTTTGAAAAGGCTCACATCAGTGCAACTCATTTTCAGTAAGGTCTATTTTCTTCCATATTTCTTTTTACGTCGTTCACAAATTCACCCTCTTTTGTGGAATGGATCCAGACTTTCCTTGTGTGCAAGCATTGTACTGGGTGAACATAAAAATCAGTTTTCTGGGGTTTGTTTGATGATTTGTGTATGATTACGTGATCGTTTCTTGTTGGTTTGTATACTGTGAATGCCGTATTAAAAAGATAACCTTCAAGGAACTCGTTAATCTCTGCTGTTATTGGTTTTTATCTCGCCCGGAAACTACAGTTCAGTTTCAGATATCCCACTGAAGTGAACAAAACTTCTTTTAGCGCTAGTGAAAACACTTGATATATTATCTTGAAGGCACGTGACAATGTTCGGTCCATCTTGTCTATTCTATCAAGACGAAAAGCGACAGAGTTGTCTGGCAATTGTGCACGTTGTTCGGTGACATAGTAACCCATTTCTTGCAATTGTTTAATTCAACAAACTGGTAATTCCTCAAGTGAAAAGAAAAGTTATCGTTGCATATTGCAGATTTTTTTTTAGTATGGCGTCAAACCAGCACGTGACTTGGAATATACAAAAGCCACGTCACCGTGTAGGCATGTCCTCACTGTTGTTCCATGTTTGAAAAGAATGGACACTTCATACGTGTTCTGTGTTAAAAGCCAAGGCACAGATGCTGTGTTTTTTTAATGGCCCAGACGGGGAGCGCGTTGGGAATAGAGATTCACCGAAGCACGAGAAGCGATTAGACATTCACCATCGGCCATCCGGAATGTTTGAACGGACGGATTAGCAGGTTATGGTAAGGAGGGGGTCCGGGCGAGAATAGGGCTTGGCGAAACACTTCCAGGGTTATCAAAACAGCCGGGACAATTGACACCGATTGTTTAGGTCGTTTATATGGGCGCTTAAAGTGTTTGCTGTTGGCATACATCATATCACACGTCCAACAATTTTCTCTTCGTTCAACTGAGAATGTCTCAGCGTAGAGAGGTAATCGGAGGGTATATTTTTCAGACTTATACTATAGTTCAGGGCGACTTGGGCTGTCAACTTGCAATTTACTGAATTCACTGCTGCAAGGCTTTACCAGTTCCGGGAACTTCTTCGCTTAATCGGGGGTATATTTGTTTCTAACAAATTGTCTTCTTTTTCATACTTGAGCATCCCGGCACCGGTACGCCAAAGCTTTTCGCCTGTTAAATATGATATTTCCGCATGCTTTAATGCGTGAAGAAAGGTTTAATACACGGAATAAGTATTTACCTGTTATGTCTGTCCATTCTACCTCCATGGTCTGTCTTACCTGTTTTCTTCATTATTTTTTCTTTTGTAATTTGACAACACGATGCAGCGGTGGTTTGATAACGGGGAGCTTGGAATCTGATGAGGGTGTTGCAAGGACAAATGTCGCAAGCAGTGTAATGGGAACTGGAGGTTACACACCGTGTAAACAGGCATGAGGTGTCATTTTCAGACAATGCGGCGTATGTTGTGGTCGTCGTGGGGGTACATGTGCTGGTGAATATAAGCCATTCAGCTCGCCGGCCTTGACTACGATCCGGAGGGGACGCAGTATCACTGTCTCAGGCTAACCTCCTTGCATGCTGCGCTCGACATTTGGCATCGCATGCGTGCTCCGCCAGGTTCCCTCCGTGGCCCTCGGTGTTTGATATTGTTGTTGACCCACACAAAGTGATACCTTATAATTGTTGAAAGAACCCTGAAAATTCTTGCCATCTGAAAGGAACCCCCGAACCGTGGCACAGATCGTAGCATGGCCTATTGTGTGGACGCACAAAAGTAAAACTGGAAAGTACAGTTCACCTCGACGGTTTCCTTCTGCGCTGGAGTTTGTATTGTGCAAAAAATAGTTAAAAATGGCGTCCATTTGAAAGTTCACTGCCGCCTATTGCAGCGAGACACGCTGGAAATGTGCACCCGTCTATTGTTTGGTTGATTAATTGACTAATTTATTTCAGATGAGGACCTTATCATGATCCGAACATAGACTTTGTAGTTTGTTTCCTCTGTATTCCACTAGTTAAAAGTTTGGGGAGTGCAAGCACTTATAATGTGCATGGACTGCAGCCTAGGGTGTTTGGGCTTTCGACTATTGTTTCTCTTTCGACAGATGTTTGTCTAGACTAGCGGCAAAACAACATGACATCCTGGTTTCGACTCCACTACTCCGGACAAGTTTCTCCTATCATATATACGGGTCTTGCGGATTTCTACTGTCTGAAATTTTCTTCGTCTTTTTCATTGGTACATTTTTCGATATCCTTTTTCGTTAAACATATTTGATTCTGGTGATTAAACTAGAAATGTTTCTGAAGTGTACGCTCGGACCCCCAGATGAGACTTCGAAAAACGAGGAAGTTAAAAACAAATCGGTCTGTATATAGAGGGATGATAGTGTCTGGAGAAGAAAACCTTGTGTTATCAGCCTGATTCAATAGACCCAATTCCCCTTTCAAGCCGTTAGGAATGCCTACTCGATCGAGAACATAACGAATCTAGAATTATAGGGAGAAAGTGGTGCGTAAAAGGTTTTCTTGGAAGTTGTACGTACGTGTATTGGGGCTCCTGAAAACCATTGTGAGCCAGATTTTGATTGACTCGAATGAAGTTCGATTTCAAATTCATCGTGTGTAAGTTTTTGGCAGGCCAGCTGTGCCTGTAGCCTGCTGTTGACCTATTTCATGCCTTATTTCAAGTCTGACTAGACTTCAAATCCGACTTTGACTTCGGCCACTGTGCCGCAACTCATATATTCAGGCTTGTAATACGGTCCATACTTCACGTAAATCTCGAACCATAAAGACGCCGCAATAAGTACCAATATTTGTGAATTGCATGTACAAACACCAGTGCAACAAGTTTGCCACTCGCCGCTTTTTTCGACTTTGCAACACCAGATAGCGACCGACGACCCTTGACCTCACAGTGCCTGATCACTTTTGCAAACATGTAAAGCGAGGTGGATACATCCCTCCGTAAACAACCATTCTGTTGCCCGATCCTTTGTCAGTACTTGAACCCTGACCCAACGGCTGCCGTGGCTGCCATAAATATACATGCAAATCATACGGCTCCACCACCACCGACACTTCAAAACTGCGTACATTGCCCGCCCGGCTGCACTATCTTTTGGTCCGCTGAAACTAGTTCGGGAAATCCGTGAAAGTGCATCTCAAGAGCAAGAAACTGAGTGAGATGCCGGTAATATGGCATCGTGGACGCCATTCCTTCATATTCATATCATATCTGTGTTTGTGATGTGAACAAACTAAACCTAGCCTATAATGTTCTGCTTTTAATTGAAGGCAAGTACATTATTACCGCGCCTGGTACGTGCAACTGCAACATTCTTTAAACTTGTGTAAATGTAATGCACGCGGTCCCAGTTTGTTAAACTTGTCTGCAAGTCTATTTATCATCCAAATTAGAATTGAAGTTGGACTTGGTATAATGGTTCATTAACATTGGGTTTGATCAACTTATACGCAGTGGCCACATGTACATGTATGTAGTTCTTCCAATGCATGATGCACGTGTTCAGAGACTACTGTACATAGACTGCTACCAATAACACAACGGCATATGTCCCTGTACTATGATATTTCACGACTTGTATACAAGGAACCTAGCCGAGGTTGATTAATACATGTTTGATATCTAGTCATCATTGTAAGATATTGTAAGCAATCATTGTTAGCAAATGGTGGCAAGAGATTCTTCATCTTGGCCTGTTATGTACATTTATTATGTTGTTTAATTCCTTGTATGACAAGAGGCGTGGCCTGAGTGCAGATACTGCGGGAGACGGTTTAACAAGACCAGTTGATTGCCCTTTGAATTAATTGGGCATTATTCCAATGTTGGAAGAAGTAGGCTCTTTCTAGTATGAATGCCTTCCGCATGAAATACATTGCAGATCGTCAAACTGATGCCCGACTTTCAGAGCCAAAGGCTCGTGAAATGTTGTCTGCTGCGTAAATAATTCATCATTTGCGGCGAATGTTCATTATTCATTCCGCGATATTCACAGTCCTGGTTCATTTCACCGACTGTCTTGTCCCATGTGCCGTCTGTTAAGGTGATATGCTTCGGCCAGTGACTGCATGTGCGATTTCTGTACGGGCTCATTTCAACTCATCTGAGCTTTTGCCTCTCCAACCGGCCTCGCCTCAGGGCTAATATGAAAAATTCATTGTTGATCCGAACCCTGAGCCCTTGGTACATTACGCTGGTAAAGGAATCATGGAAAGGCCGCACGATTTTTTATTCCACCCGGTCGCTCGGCGTGTTTCACTGACGACCATTCTATGTACAATTTTTTTTGGGGGGGTTGAAAATAACAAGTGACGTCGAAATGTGAAAGTCTTCTCTCAAAAACTACAAACATCAACCTTTGTTATTTTTGGTTTAATTTCTCCGTCAAATTTCTCTAAGTTGCGGTCTTATATCGGCCTGTGACATGCCCAAGCGACCCCCATTTTATCGAATCAACTTAAAGCTGTAAAACCTCTCACTGGACCAAACTTAACGCCCCTAAAAAGAGGAAGTCAAGTGACAAAAATGTTACTGGTCGGACTAAGCTATTTACACATATTTCCATACCAACTTCAGTCGCTTTGACTGTCACGTTACAGTTTAGCCAGTAATCGCGCGGTGATTTGCCAAGTTTCCTCTTTCACTTTGTTTTCAGCTAGTATGGGTTCGCAATTACGAAATACTCCTCCACTTCAACGATGTAAGACATACAAAGATATGGTCTCCCGCTGATACGGGGGGACATATTACGCTGCATTGCCCTTGGATACGAGGTTAAATTATGTCCAGTAAATGACACGATCTGCTCCTTGCACCATTGATTTATGCCAGCGAGCGATGGGAGAGAGGGGCGACCGTAACTCGTCGAGCCAATTCCCCGCCGCCATTAAGTGGGGAATTGTCGAGGGTCTCTTTGTCGGCGAGATTACAGTACGACGCGGGCTCTCCCGGTTTGCCTAGCAACCATCCAAGTGTGCGGTGAGAATCTGAAAACTTGCAGTTTGCCACCTGGTAGCATCATCGGCAGCGCTGTGTCCGGACTTCATGAGCGATGGAGGGGAGATATTAATTATAGTGTTTTTTTATGTACCACGACAGGACGCATAAGAGCATCCACGACGGCATTGGTAGCATGAACGGCAACGGAAATGAAAGAAGCTGATAT